TGTAGAAGAAGAATAATAGGAAGAAGAATTCTAAAATATGTAGAAGAAGAAAAAGAATAGGAATAGGAATAAGAATTTTTACATATGTAGAAGAAGAATAAGAATAGGAATAAGAATATAAAAATACATAGAAGTAGCAAAGAAGTAGTATAGTAAGAGTAGGAAGAAGAAGAACCATAAGAAGAAAAGGAATTGATGTATTAAAAGAAAATATAAGAAATATAAGTAAAATTCGAACATAATTTATTGTTATTACATATTGTATAATCCTATTACAGTTATGAAATAAAAACATTAATGTACCATATGTTGTAACCACAATGCATCATAATGCCCCCACGCTGTTCCCGTTATTGAAGAATCTGTGTGTGTGCTAACAACGTTGGTAAGGCCCCAGAGCAGAGTGCCCAGATTCCGTGTCCTGTCTCTCCGAGGTGCCGATGCATTGTCCCAGCCCGAGCCACGGAGCGCCCCGCGAGCAGCGCGGGCTCAGCCCCAGCGGCAGCGGGAGAGTTCCCGGCCGGGCCGGCGGGGCAGGGCTGTCGCTGCTCTCTGCAGGCAAACGGGAGGCGCAGGCTGAGCCCGGCTGGCAGAGAGCTGTGCCGGGCAGCCCTTTGCAGCAGGGCTGTGCAGCCAGCACAGCGAAGGCAGCGGAGCCCCGCTCTGCCGCTGCCCGTGGCCGGGGAGCCGGGCCGGGGCTGTTCCTGCAGCCCTGCCTGCCTCCAGCAGCCCTGGGCCGGGCGGGAGGGGTTCCCCCGCTGCAGCCCCAGCTGAGGCAGCAGCAGCAGCTCTGTGCTGCTCCTGACACATCCCTGCGGCAGCAGCTGCACGGGGCTGTGCAGCCACAGAGCCCAAAGCAGCGCAGCAGCAGCGCAGCAGCTGCGCAGCTCTGGGGCTCTGCTGCTGCTGCTGCTGCTGCTGGGCAGCCCCACAGGACTCAGGGCTGAGCAGCCGTGCCTGGAGCCCGCTCCTGGCTCCTCCAGCCTCGGGGCTGCTCCTCTGCTGCTCCAGGGCAGGGCCTTTCTCCGGGATTGGCTTTTCTTTCTGCTGGGAGAGCTCTCACAGAACCCCAGGATCCCTGGGGCTGGAAAAGCCCTCCCAGCCCAGGGAGTCCCAGCTGGGCCCCATGCCCACCTTGTCCCCAGCCCAGAGCACTCAGTGCCACCTCCAGGGGACACCTGCAGGGATGGGCACTCCAAAGCTCCCTGGGCAGCCCCTGCCAGGGCCTGAGCACCCTTTCCATGGGGAAATTGCTCCTGCTGTCCCAGCTGAGCCTGCCCTGGCCCAGCCTGAGGCCATTTCCCCTTGTCCTGTCCCTGTTCCCTGGGAGCAGAGCCTGACCCCCCCGGCTGTCCCCTCCTGGCAGGGGCTACAGAAGGACTGTTCCTTTCCTGGGCCCTCTCCTCCTCTTTTCTGCTTTCCAAAACTAAAACGGAATCACTGAATTACAAATCCCACACGAATACTGGGGACTGGATGTTGGCCCATTTCCTGTGTCCACAGGGACAACCAAGTGTCTCCCTCCTCCCGTGCCCAAAATCCAACAGCAGAGAGTCCCTAGGCCAGCATTCTCTCTGTGTGTGGTAGATAGGGACAGGCGAACGGAAGATCTCTGGATGTGACGGAAAGAAAGACCCTTCCCCCGTCTCCCTGCTTCACGTTATCTATCACCCCCAGAGCTTGTAACCACACCTAACCCGGTAGTTTTCCACTCCCGACTAACCTAGAGACCCTACCAACCCCCCCTGACGTAGCAAAGTCCCCCAAGACTATTTAAACCCATGAGATAAGATAATAAACGCTTTTGACTGTCCACCACATTGGTGTCAGCGTGTGTTGTTAGTCCGAGTAGCCCGGACAGGCCGGGCTGCCGTGCTGTCGCCTTGCAACCAGGTCGCACGTTGCCTCCCATGAAGGCAAAACTGTGGGAGCAGCAGGAAGGAAGTTTGAGGACTTCTGCAGCCCATGAGAGAGGGGAAGGCAGGAAATCTCCTTTCTTTCTGTCTTTTCCACACCAAAGGAGACTCCTGCAATGGGAAAAGGAATTGTTCATGGTGGAGCTGCCCCCTGGGGCTCCAGCCCACAGGAGAGGCCTGGGGCAAAGCCAGGCTCCTCATAAAACAGGAAAGCTGGACAGGACAAACACACGTCAAACCAATATGGTTGATTAAACGTTCTCCGTTTATTAGTGAGAAGATGGCACTTTACATATATTTCTATATAGTTCACAGTTTACAAAGGCACTCTCATTGGCAAGCTAACATTGTTTGTCTTTGTCTTAAGGTGGACTAAATTTCTCATTATAAACCTATACTATTTCACACCCAGACAGCCCAGCTCTTCACATCACACCTTAATAGAATTTCTAACTGTGCCACAAACTCTTAATTTCTAACTGTGCCACAAACTCTTAATTTCTAACTGCGTCACAGGCTGGAAGGCCTCACAAGGCCCGATCTGAGGCCTAGACTGGAGTAGCTCAAATCTCATTCCAGACATAAATCATGGCCTCTCTCTCTCAGAAATGCTGCAACACTGGGGGATATCAGGTGTGCTCCCACCTGCAGCTCGGCACTTCATAGCTGGGCCAGGAGTGGAAAATTTGGAGAGAAAACAGATTATCCAGAACCACACTTGATCTGTCTCCCCTCACTCCCCGCACTTGGAGAAGGTGCTGGATAAATGATGCAGGGCGAGTGTAGGAAATCAGGAGGAACTCTGATTTTACTCCCCATGTGCTGCCGTGCAGCCTCAGAAAGGGGAGGAGCTTTTGTGCACGGCTGAAGCGTGAGAGTCCTCTGGGAGTTCCACAACGGTTCTGAAGCCTTGGACCCAGCTGTTGGTTTTTCCCTGATGCTGCTCAATTTTGCTTCAGTGTGCCCAAAAGAAAGAAGATCACAGGAAACAAATTTAAACGTTGTAAAAGACAAGAGCAACAAGTGACAAGACTGTAAATTTTTGAAAGCACAGCTTTTTCTTTTATTGAACTTTCTGTTAGTAGAGATGTTGCTAACTAATTGTTTACAACTTTTGATGACTTTTGACCCACATGGACCTCTAATTATACAAGTTTAGTATTTATGATGTCTCTTCAAACCAGGGTATTAAAGAATCGTGCAATGAAAAGTCATTTTCTATCCCAAGGAGACTGAAACATTCATTTATTGCTCCCAAACAGACTAAAGCCTGTGGGTTTAGTGTCACATCTCACAGAGCTTGGCCCTGGAGCGCTGCTGCCTCGGCCGAGCGAAGCCCCTGGGGCTGCTGTGCGGGTGCATTTGAAGGGCACGGACACAATGGCAGCGCCGTGTGTCTTTGTGCTCCAGGTCTGCGCTGCCCGTGCGGGCGGAGCGGGGCTGGCGGGAGCCGCGCTCCCCTCAGAGCCCCTGAGGGTGGCAGCGATGGCGGCGCCGCTCCCTCAGCGCCCGGCCCCGGCCCCGGCGGGCGGGGAGGCCTCGGCAGCGCCCGGCCGGCAGCGGGGAGCGAGCCCCGGCCCGGCCGCTGTGCCCGTGGCGCCGCAGAGGCGAGGGGAGAGCCGCAGGAGCCGCTGCCTCGGGCACTGCCCCGGGCCGGGGGCACCAGCCGGGCCCCGGCCCTGCGGCAGCGCAGGAGGCTCTGGCGGTGCCGCTTCTCCAGCTCGGCCCGGTGCCCGGGCACGGCCCCGGCCTTGGGGCTGCCCCTGCCCGGCTCAGCTGCCCGTGCCCTGCCCGGGCGCCGAGGGCGCGCTCGGTGCCCCCGGGTGCCGCTGCTGCGGGCAGGGCCGAGCCCCGGTGCCCGGGCACAGCCCTGAGCGACACCCCTGCTCCCCGGGCTGCCGCGGCTCCTGGAGCCGCTGCCCACGAGCCCCCGGCACAGCCGTGCGGCCAATTCCTCGTGGCCTGGGCAGCGCGGCCTGCAAAGCCAGGGCTGGGCACTGCGGGGCCGGGGCTGCCGTGTGCCAGCGGGGCCAAAGCCTCGCAGGGCTCGGGGCACAGCCGGGCCCACCAGGACACCGCTCCGGGGATGCTCCCAGCCAGCTCCTGCCCAAGCCCCCCGCAACCCGGGCTGGCTCTGTGCGCTCCGGCAGCCACGACGGGACTGGGGAACAGCTGGGGACTGGGCTTTGCCCACAGCTCAACTTGGAGAGCTGCAAGCTCTGCCCTGCACGCTGTTACAGCCACGGCAGGGAGCAGGCCAAGGAGGAAAGAGGAGCCACTTTGCCTTGAGCTTCCATAGGGAAAGTTTATCCGAGGTGGAGAGAGCAGGACAAAAAAGAGCCCCTCACCCTCATTTGCAAGGGGTTTTGCTCAGATCCAAGTCAGGCGGTGGGTACAAACAGAGAAGCAACAGGGAATCCTCAGGGCAGGAGTGAGGGGATTACAGCAACACTGTGGGACCATCAGGATGGGGGGAGCAGCGGGAAAGGCACAGGGGCCAATGGGGCATCCTGGATTAGGGGATTTGCAAGGGAGGGTTTCAATCAGGGGTTGGCCCAGGGTCTGAGTGGCAGGGAACATTCAGGAAAAAGGGGCAGGGTTAACTGGACAGGCAGGGAAGGGACTGGGACAAAGGGAGGGGAATAACTTGAGGGACAGCTTTAAAGGGTGTGTACAACTTAGGGGAAAAAAACCAACTTGGGGAAAACATGGGCAGACAACAGATTGTACCACTTAACAATAACGTAATGAAATAATCACAAACTGCAACAGGTTCCTGTCTGCTCCACTGCTGTTGGGGTGCTGGTGGTGGCCCTTTGTGACACGGCACATGGTGTCATGGCCCTTTGTGATGTGGGACGTGGTGGTGGCCAGAGACTCTTGTGACATCAGGGAGCTCTGCCAGGGCTGAGGGTCTCCAAGGGGTGTGGAGCCCTGGGGTGCTCATTCCCAGGATAGCCGCTCTCTGAGGAGGAAGCAGCTCCCTGGCTCTGTCTACGCCAGACACTAACAGTGATATCCATTGGAAGTACCGACAGTGACAGACAACGACAGCAAGGAGGACAAAACACACTCCACCTCCCGGTCCCACAGCTCCTTGCCCAGCTGGCTGGAAGCCACCAGCGAGCCGTGGTCAGGGGCAGTGGGCAGCTCAGTCCTGCCGCTGTCACAGACTGAGAAGGTAGAGAGGATCTTGGCCAAAATGGGCCAAAAGCTTTCCCGGAGGGAAGGTGTGAAAGACTCCCAAAAGAGGGATGTTCCAGGAGCCGAAGAAATGTCCCAGCGGGGAGACAGGAGCAGCCAAGAGCTGTACCAAGGCCAGGTACGTGTGAGAGTTTGGGAGGTTTCCCAGTACAGAGGTGGGACACACCAAGAGCTCTGTGAAGGGGAAGAAACTGTCAGAGTTCAGGAGCTGTTCCAGTGGGAGGAGGACAGTGAGATGCACCAAGAGGGGCAGGAGAGGGAAGAAGGTGTGAAAACCCAAGAGATTTCCCAGTGGGAAATAGATGTGAGTGGGCGGCAGGAGATGGGATGGGGAGAAGACGAGAGGTGCCACAAGGGCTGTCCCTGCAGAGATCTGAGTGTCCCAGAGGATTCCCAATGGGATGATGCCCAAGAGCGTTCCCAGAGGGAAGGTGAGAGGTACCACGACCTCTCAGCATGGGGACAAGGTGTGCACTGCCACATGTCCCAATGGGAAGACAGGAGAGAGCTGGAATTGTCCCAAGTGAGAGACAGCAGTGGCAGGGAGCTGTGCCATGGAGCAGACGCTGCAGCCCAAGAGCTGCCCCGGTGGGATGATGTGAGGGAGCGAAAGCTGTCCCAAAGGGAGGAAGATGTGAGCAGGCAGGAGCTGTCCCAATGGGGACACAACATCAGCTCTGAGATCTGGGACAGACCCTTGTGCCCAGTGAGGGACGAGGAGCCTCAGCCTTGTCCCCCAGAGGGGCCCAGCTCTGCCAGCCCCGTGGGCACAGAGGTGGCAGCAGAGGCAGTGCCTGCCCTAACCAGCGCCTCTCCTGCCCCACAGAGTCCCACGGAGGCCGAGCCGGCAGCTGCTGCCCCGGCTGGAGATGCTGAGGAGGAGGAGGAGCCAGGGTCGGCAGTGGCAGAGCTGGCACAGGAAGGTCGCCTGGAGGACTGGATTTGGGACAGTTTCTCAGAATCCAGCAGTGAGGAAGAGAGCCCGGTGCCTTCCCCGCACAGCTCCCCCGGCCCCTTGTCTGCCCTGCCGGGAGCCCCAGCCCCCAGGGAAGAGCCGGGCTGGGCAGTGGCAGAGCTTGCTGAGGATGACAGCCTGGAGGCCTGGGTTTGGGGAAGTCTCTGGGAATCCGACAGTGAGGAAGAGCTGCGCGAGAAGACATTGTCTCTTGTCCAAGAGCTGTCCCAGAAGGAGGACAATGTGAGCTCCAGCTCTGGGGAGAAGCCTGTGGGCCCAGTGAAGGAGGGGGACACCCAGCCTTCTCCCCCAGAGGGACCCAGCTCTGCCAGCCCCGTGGGCACAGAGGTGGCAGCAGAGGCAGCCCCTGCCCTGCCCAGCGCCTCTCCTGCCCCTGGCAGTCCCACGGAGGTCGAGCCGGCAGCTTCTGCCCCGTCCGGAGCTTCTGAGGAGGCAGCAGCGGGGTCAGGGCTGGCAGTGCAAGAGAGGATGGACGACGATGACGATGAGGAAATGAAATTTTGGCAGTACTTGGATGACCTGGAGCCTTTCCTGCTTAGAGAACCTGAGCTGTCCCAGGAAGTGTCTGACTCTAAACAGTGCACGGGTGAACATCTGCCCCAAGGGGAAGGTGAGGAAGTCATGAGCCGCCACCAACTCTCTGGGCAGAAAGAATATTTGGAGAAGGACCAGTCCCAGGGAGAAGTCAGCAGCTCCCAAGACCCCTCGGACTGGGAAGAATGCAACGAGCAAGTGCTGTCCGGAGGAGATGTCATCAGCTGCCAAGAACTTTCGGACTGGGAAGAAGACCTTGGCCAAAAGGTGTCCAGAGGGAATGACAGCAGACCCTCAGGACTCTCCAGCTGGGATGACTACAGCGACACGGGGCTCGTGCAGGAGAACTGGCCCCAGCACATCATCTTGGCCAAGCCCTTGTGCCCCGAGGACGATGAGTGGGACGATGTGAGCCTCCTGGAGCTGCCCCCAGAAGACGGCAAAGGCCAGAAATGGAAAGTTTTAGTGGCAGAGGGGCTCCCAGTGCCCGTTCCTCGGGAGGCCTGGGCTGAGTGCCCAGCACAGGAGCCGTGCATCCAAGAGCCGGCGCCTGCCCCGCACAGCCCCCCCAGCCCCTGGCCTGCCCGGCTGGGAGCCCAGGCCCTCCGCGGGCAGCCGGCTGCCCCCAGGAAACGTCCCTCCCGCTTCAGGCGGGCACTGCGGGCACTGCGGGGGCTGTTCCGCTGACCCTGCCTCAGGCCATGCACTGAGGAGTGAAAGTGACACGGAAAAAGGTGAAGAGGATGAAGAGAAGGAAGGTGAAGAACAGGAAGAAGATGAAGATGACCGCTCCTGCCAGTCCCCCTCCTCTGTGTCGGAGCAGCAGCTGTTCGGTTCGGCTCGAGGGGCTCAGAGATTGCTGCTGCAGCTCCTCCAAGCCAGGGAAGAGAAAAGCCTTTGGATGGGCCAGGCAAAACAAGCAAAACCCAACCAAGCAGAGCCATGAAGGCCTGGGCAGTGAGGCTTGGAAAATGCCCACCCAAAGAGCCCAAAGCTCCCCCATCCCTGCCCCGCACACACCTGGCCCCGGGCTGGAAGGTGCAATAACCATTTCTTGGGCACAAAGCAGAGGCTCCTGGAACAGACTCTCAGCACAAACCCCTCCAGGACAATGGCAAAAAAGACTAAGACCAAGAAGATGAAGACGAAGACACAGAAAATGAGGACGAAGATGATACAGCAGATGAAGAAGACGAAGACAGTGAAAAAGATGAAGACAAATAGGATGAAGAACATGAAGAAGACCGAAAAGACGAAGAAGACAGAGATGAAGACTAAAAAGACAAGACAGAGAACGTTTATTTAAAAATAGATAGATGAAGTATAGTAATAAGAATTTAGAGATGCTTAGAAGAAGAAGAGTACTAGGAATAGGAATTTCAAATTATGTAGAAGAAGAATAATAGGAATAAGAATTTTTACATATGTAGAAGAAGAAGAATAGGAATAGGAATTAGAATTTTTAAATATGTAGAAGAAGAAGAATAGCAATAGGAATAAGAATATAAAAATACATAGAAGTAGCAAACAAGAAGAATAGTAAAGAGTAGGAAGAAGAACCATAAGAAGAATAAGAATTGATGTATGAAAAGAAAATATAAGAAATAAGTAAAATTCGAACATAATTTATTTTTATTACATATTGTATAACCCTATTACAGTTATGAAATAAAAATATTCATGTACCTTATATTGTAACCACAATGCATCATAATGCCCCCACACTGTTCCCGTTATTGAAGAATCCGTGTGTGTGCTAACAACGTTGGTAAGGCCCCAGAGCAGAGTGCCCAGATTCCGTGTCCCGTCTCTCCGAGGTGCCGATGCATTGTCCCAGCCCGAGCCACGGAGCGCCCCGCGAGCAGCGCGGGCTCAGCCCCAGCGGCAGCGGGAGAGTTCCCGGCCGGGCCGGCGGGGCAGGGCTGTCGCTGCTCTCTGCAGGCAAACGGGAGGCGCAGGCTGAGCCCGGCTGGCAGAGAGCTGTGCCGGGCAGCCCTTTGCAGCAGGGCTGTGCAGCCAGCACAGCGAAGGCAGCGAAGCCCCGCTCTGCCGCTGCCCGTGGCCGGGGAGCCGGGCCGGGGCTGTTCCTGCAGCCCTGCCTGCCTCCAGCAGCCCTGGGCCGGGCGGGAGGGGTTCCCCCGCTGCAGCCCCAGCTGAGGCAGCAGCAGCAGCTCTGTGCTGCTCCTGACACATCCCTGCGGCAGCAGCTGCACGGGGCTGTGCAGCCACAGGGCCCAAAGAGGCGCAGCAGCAGCGCAGCAGCAGCGCAGCTCTGGGCCTCTGCTGCTGCTGCTGCTGCTGCTGCTGCTGCTGGGCAGCCCCACAGGGCTCAAGGCTGATCAGCCGTGCCTGGAGCCCGCTCCTGGCTCCTCCAGCCTCGGGGCTGCTCCTCTGCTGCTCCAGGGCAGGGCCTTTCTCCGGGATTGGCTTTTCTTTCTGCTGGGAGAACTCTCACAGAACCCCAGGATCCCTGGGGCTGGAAAAGCCCTCCCAGCCCAGGGAGTCCCAGCTGGGCCCCATGCCCACCTTGTCCCCAGCCCAGAGCACTCCATGCCACCTCCAGGGGACACCTGCAGGGATGGGCACTCCAAAGCTCCCTGGGCAGCCCCTGCCAGGGCCTGAGCACCCTTTCCATGGGGAAATTGCTCCTGCTGTCCCAGCTGAGCCTGCCCTGGCCCAGCCTGAGGCCATTTCCCCTTGTCCTGTCCCTGTTCCCTGGGAGCAGAGCCTGACCCCCCCGGCTGTCCCCTCCTGGCAGGGGCTACAGAAGGACTGTTCCTTTCCTGGGCCCTCTCCTCCTCTTCTCTGCTTTCCAAAACTAAAACAGAATCACTGAATTACAAATCCCACATGAATACTGGGGACTGGATGTTGGCCCATTTCTTGTGTCCACAGGGACAACCAAGTGTCTCCCTCCTCCCGTGCCCAAAATCCAACAGCAGAGAGTCCCTAGGCCAGCATTCTCTCTGTGTGTGGTAGATAGGGACAGGCGAACGGAAGATCTCGGGATGTGATGGAAAGAAAGACCCTTCCCCCTTCTCCCTGCTTCACGTTATCTATCACCCCCAGAGCATGTAACCACACCTAACCCGGTAGTTTCCACTCCCGACTAACCTAGAGACCCTACCAACCCCCCCTGACGTAGCAAAGTCCCCCAAGACTATTTAAACCCATGAGATAAGATAATAAACACTTTTGACCGTCCACCACATTGGCGTCAGCGTGTGTTGTTAGTCCGAGTAGCCCGGACAGGCCGGGCTGCCGTGCTGTCGCCTTGCAACCAGGTCGCATGTTGCCTCCCATGAAGGCAAAACTGTGGGAGCAGCAGGAAGGAAGTTTGAGGACTTCTGCTGCCCATGAGAGAGGGGAAGGCAGGAAATCTCCTTTCTTTCTGTCTTTTCCACACCAAAGGAGTCTCCTGCAATGGGAAAAGGAATTGTTCATAGTGGAGCTGCCCCGTGGGGCTCCAGCCCACAGGAGAGGCCTGGGGCAAAGCCAGGCCCCTCATAAAACAGGAAAGCTGGACAGGACAAACACACGTCAAACCAATATGATTAATTAAACATCCTCCGTTTATTAGTGAGAAGATGGCACTTTACATACATTTCTATATAGTTTACAGTTTACAAAGGCACTCTCATTGGCAAGCTTACATTGTTTGTCTTTGTCTTAAGGTGGACTAAACTTCTCATTATAAACCTATACTACTTCACACCCAGACAGCCCAGTGCTTCACATCATACCTTAATAGAATTTCTAACTGTGCCACAAACTCTTAATTTCTTACTGTGCCACAAACTCTTAATTTCTAACTGCGTCACAGGCTGGAAGGCCTCACAAGGCCCGATCTGAGGCCTAGACTGCAGTAGCTCAAATCTCATTCCAGACATAAATCATGGCCTCTCTCTCTCAGAAATGCTGCAACACTGGGGGACATCAGGTGTGCTCCCACCTGCAGCTCGGCACTTCATAGCTGGGCCAGGAGTGGAAAATTTGGAGAGAAAACAGATTATCCAGAACCACACTTGATCTGTGTCCCCTCACTCCCCGCACTTGGAGAAGGTGCTGGATAAATGATGCAGGGCGAGTGTAGGAAATCAGGAGGAACTCTGATTTTACTCCCCATGTGCTGCCGTGCAGCCACGGAAAGTAGAGAAGCTTTTCTGCTCGGCTTAAGCGTGCAAGTCCTCCGGGAGTTCCACAGCCATTCTGAAGACTTGGACCCAGCTGTTGGTTTTTCCCTGATGCTGCTCAGTTTTGCTTCCGTGCACCCAAAATAAAGAAGATCACAGGAAACAAATTTAAACGTTGCAAAAGACAAGAGCAACAAGTGACAAGACTGTAAATTTTTGACAGCCTAGCTTTTTCTTTTATTGAATCTTCTGTTAGTAGAGATGTTGTTAACTACGTGTTTACAACTTTTGATGACTTTTAACCCACATGGACCTCTAATTATACCAGTTTAGTATTTATGATGTCTCTTCAAACCAGTCTATGAAAGAATCATCCAATTAAAAGTCGTTTTCTATCCCAAGGAGACTGAAACATTAATTTATTGCTCCCAAACAGACTAAAGCCTGTGGGTTTAGTGTCACATCTCACACAGCTCGGCCCTGGAGCGCTGCTGCCGCGGCCGAGCGCAGCCCCTGGGGCCGCTGTGCGGGTGCATTTGAAGGGCACGGACACAATGGCAGCGCTGTGCATCTTTGTGCTCCAGGTCTGCGCTGCCCGTGCGGGCGGAGCGGGGCTGGCGGGAGCGGCGCTACCCTCAGAGCCCCTGAGGGCGGCAGCGATGGCGGCGCCGCTCCCTCGGCGCCCGGCCCCGGCCCCGGCGGGCGGGGAGCCCTCGGCAGCGCCCGGCCGGCAGCGGAGAGCGAGCCCCGGCCCGGCCGCTGTGCCCGTGGCGCCGCAGAGGCGAGGGGAGAGCCGCAGGAGCCGCTGCCTCGGGCACTGCCCCGGGCCGGGGGCAGCAGCCGGGCCCCGGCCCTGCGGCAGCGCAGGAGGCTCTGGCGGTGCCGCTTCTCCAGCTCGGCCCGGTGCCCGGGCACGGCCCCGGCCTTGGGGCTGCCCCTGCCCCGCTCAGCTGCCCGTGCCCTGCCCGGGCGCCGAGGCCGTGCTCGGTGCCCCCGGGTGCCGCTGCTGCGGGCAGGGCCGAGCCCCGGTGCCCGGGCACAGCCCTGAGGGACACCCCTGCTCCCCGGGCTGCCGCGGCTCCTGGAGACGCTGCCCACGAGCCCCCGGCACGGCCGTGCGGCCAATTCCTCGTGCCCTGGGCAGCGCGGCCTGCAAAGCCGGGGCTGGGCACTGCGGGGCTGGGGCTGCCGTGTGCCAGCGGGGCCAAAGCCTCGCAGGGCTCGGGGCACAGCCGGGCCCGCCAGGACACCGCTCCGGGGATGCTCCCAGCCAGCTCCTGCCCAAGCCCCCCGCAACCCGGGCTGGCTCTGTGTGCTCCGGCAGCCACGACGGGACTGGGGAACAGCTGGGGACTGGGCTTTGCCCACAGCTGAACCTGGAGAGCTGCAAGCTCTGCCCTGCACGCTGTTACAGCCACGGCAGGGAGCAGGCCCAGGAGGAAGGAGGAGCCGCTTTGCCTTGAGCTTCCATAGGGAAAACTTATTCGAGGTGGAGAGAGCAGGATAAAGAAGAGCCCCTCACCCTCGTTTGCAAGGGGTTTTGCTCAGATCCAAGTCAGGCTTTGGGTGCAAACAGAGAAGCAACAGGGAATCCTCAGGGCAGGAGTGAGGGGATTACATCAACACTGTGGGACCATCAGGATGGGGGGAGCAGCGGGAAAGGCACAGGGGCCAATGGGGCATCCTGGATTAGGGGATTTCCAAGGGAGGGTTTCAGTCAGCGGCTGGCCCAGGGTCTGAGTGGCAGGGAACATTCAGGAAAAAGGGGCAGGGTTAACTGGACAGGCAGGGAAGGGACTGGCACAAAGGGAGGAGAATAACTTGAGGGACACCTTCAAAGGGAGTGTACAACATAGGGAAAAAACCAACTTGGAGAAAACATGTGAAGACAACAGATTGTGCCACTTAACAATAACGTAATGAAATAATCACAAACTGCAACAGGTTCCTGTGTGCTCCACTGCTGTTGGGGTTCCGGGGTGGCCCTTTGTGACGCAGCACATGGTGTCATGGCCCTTTGTGATGTGGGACGTGGTGGTGGCCAGAGACTCTTGTGACATCAGGGAGCTTTGCCAGGGCTGAGGATCTCCAAGGGGTGCGGAGCCCTGGGGTGCCCAGTCCCAGGAGAGCCGCTCTCTGAGGAGGAAGCAGCTCCCTGGCTCTGTCTGCGCCTGACGCTGACAGCGATAGTTATTGGACCTACGGACAGTGACAGACAACGACAGCGAGGAGGACAAAGCCACCTCCACCTCCCGGTCCCACAGCTCCTTGCCCAGCTGGCTGGAAGCCACCAGCAAGCAGTGGTCAGGGGCAGTGGGCAGCTCAATCCTGTCGTTGTCACAGACTGAGAAGGAAGAGAGGATCTTGGCCAAAATGGGCCAAAAGCTTTCCCGGAGGGAAGGTGTGAAAGACACCCAAAAGAGGGATGTTCCAGGAGCCGAAGAAATGTCCCAGCAAGGAGACAGGAGCAGCCAAGAGCTGTACCAAGGCCAGGTACGTGTGAGAGTTTGGGAAGTTTCCCAGCACAGAGGGGGGACACACCAAGAGCTCTATGAAGGGGAAGAAACCATCAGAGCTCAGGAGCTGTCCCAGTGGGAGGAGGACAGTGAGATGCACCAAGAGGGGCGGGAGAGGGAAGAAGGTGTGACAACCCAAGAGATTTCCCAGTGGGAAATAGATGTGAGTGGGCGGCAGGAGATGGGATGGGGAGAAGACGAGAGGTGCCACAAGGGCTGTCCCTGCAGAGAGATCTGAGTGTCCCAGAGGATTCCCAATGGGATGATGCCCAAGAGCGTTCCCAGAGGGAAGGTGAGAGGTACCAAGACCTCTCAGCATGGGGACAAGGTGTGCACTGCCACACGTCCCAATGGGAAGACAGGAGAGAGCTGGAATTGTCCCAAGTGAGAGACAGCAGTGGCAGGGAGCTGTGCCATGGAGCAGACGCTGCAGCCCAAGAGCTGCCCCGGTGGGACGACGTGAGGGAGCGAAAGCTGTCCCAAAGGGAGGAAGATGTGAGCAGGCAGGAGCTGTCCCAATGGGGACACAACATCAGCTCTGAGATCTGGGACAGACCCTTGTGCCCAGTGAGGGACAAGGAGCCTCAGCCTTGTCCCCCAGAGGGGCCCAGCTCTGCCAGCCCCGTGGGCACAGAGGTGGCAGCAGAGGCAGTGCCTGCCCTAACCAGCGCCTCTCCTTCCCTACAGAGTCCCACGGAGGCCGAGCCGGCAGCTGCTGCCCCAGCTGGAGATGCTGAGGAGGAGGAGGAGCCAGGGTCGGCAGTGGCAGAGCTGGCACAGGAAGGTCGCCTGGAGGACTGGATTTGGGACAGTTTCTCAGAATCCAGCAGTGAGGAAGAGAGCCCGGTGGCTTCCCCGCACAGCCCCCCCGGCCCCTTGTCTGCCCTGCCGGGAGCCCCAGCCCCCAGGGAGGAGCCGGGCTGGGCAGTGGCAGAGCTGGCACAGGATGACAGCCTGGAGGCCTGGGTTTGGGGAAGTCTCTGGGAATCCGACAGTGAGGAAGAGCTGTGCGAGAAGACATTGTCTCTTGTCCAAGAGCTGTCCCAGAAGGAGGACAATGTGAGCTCCAGCTCTGGGGAGAAGCCTGTGGGCCCATTTAAGGAGGGGGACACCCAGCCTTCTCCCCCAGAGGGGCCCAGCTCTGCCAGCCCCGTGGGTACAGAGGTGGCAGCAGAGGCAGCCCCTGCCCTGCCCAGCACCTCTCCTGCCCCCGGCAGTCCCACAGAAACCGAGCCGGCAGCTGCTGCCTCGTCCGGAGCTTCTGAGGAGGCAGCAGCGGGGTCAGGGCTGGCAGTGCAGGAGAGGATGGACGACGATGACGATGAGGAAATGAAATATTGGCAGCACTTGGATGACCTGGAGCCTTTCCTGATTAGAGAACCAGAGCTGTCCCAGGAAGCGTCTGACTCCAAACAGTGCACGGGGGAACATCTGCCCCAAGGGGAAGCTGAGGAAGTCATGAGCCGCCACCAACTCTCTGGGCAGAAAGAATATTTGGAGCAAGACCGGTCCCAGGGAGAAGTCAGCAGCTCCCAAGACCCCTCGGACTGGGAAGAATGCAACGAGCAAGTGCTGTCCGGAGGAGATGTCATCAGCTGCAAAGAACTTTCGGACTGGGAAGAAGACCTTGGCCAATATGTGTCCAGAGGGAATGGCAGCAGACCCTCAGGACTCTCCAGCTGGGACGACGACAGTGACACAGGGCTTGTGCAGGAGAACTGGCCCGAGCACGTCATCTTGGCCAAGCCCTTGTGCCCAGAGGACGATGAGTGGGACGATGTGAGCCTCCTGGAGCTGCCCCCAGAAGACGGCAAAGGCCAGAAATGGAAAGTTTTTGTGGCAGAGGGGCTCCCAGTGCCCGTCCCTCGGGAGGCCTGGGCTGAGTGCCCGGCACAGGAGCCGTGCAGCCAAGGGCCGCCGCCTGCCCCACACAGCCCCCCCAGTCCCTGGCCTGCCCGGCTGGGAGCCCAGGCCCTCCGCGGGCAGCCGGCTGCCCCCAGGAAACGTCCCTCCCGCTTCAGGCGGGCACTGCGGGCACTGCGGGGGCTGTTCCGCTGACCCTGCCTCAGGCCATGCACTGAGGAGTGAAAGAGACATGGAAAAAGGTTAAGAGGATGAAGAGAAGGAAGGTGAAGAACAGGAAGAAGATGAAGATGGCCGCTCCTGCCAGTCCCGCTCCTCTGTGTCGGAGCAGCAGCTGTTCGGTTCGGCTCAAGGGGCTCAGAGATTGCTGCTGCAGCTCCTCCAAGCCAGGGAAGAGAAAAGCCTTTGGATGGGCCAGGCAAGCCAAGCAAAGCCCAACCAAGCAGAGCCACGAAGGCCTGGGCAGTGAGGCTTGGAAAATGCCCACCCAAAGAGCCCAAAGCTCCCCCATCCCTGCCCCGCACACACCTGGCCCCGGGCTGGAAGGTGCAATAACCATTTCTTGGGCACAAAGCAGAGGCTCCTGGAACAGACTCTCAGCACAAACCCCTCCAGGAACATGGCAAAGAAGACAAAGACAAAGAAGATGAAGACGAAGACACAGAAAATGAGGACGAAGAGGATACAGCAGATGAAGAAGACGAAGACAGTGAAGAAGATGAAGACAAATAGGATGAAGAACATGAAGAAGACAGAAAAGACGAAGAAGACAAAGATGAAGACTAAAAAGACAAGACAGAGAACGTTTATTTAAGAATAGATAGATGAAGTATAGTAATAAGAATTTAGAGATACTTAGAAGAAGAGTACTAAGAATAGGAATTTCAAAATATGTAGAAGAAGAATAATAGGAAGAAGAATTTTAAAATATGTAGAAGAAGAAAAAGAATAGGAATAGGAATAAGAATTTTTACATATGTAGAAGAAGAAGAATAGGAATAGGAATAAGAATTTTAAAATATGTAGAAGAAGAATAGGAATAGGAATAGGAATAAGAATATAAAAATACATAGAAGTAGCAAACAAGAAGAATAGTAAAGAGCAGGAAGAAGAAGAACCATAAAAAGAATAAGAATAGAAAAGTGAAGAGAAAATTGAAAGAATAAGTAAAACTGACAAATAATTTATTGTTATTAGATATTGTATATTTATATTACAGTCTATGCAATAAAAACATAAATGTACCATATGCTGTAATCACAATGCATCGTAATGCCCCCACGCTGTTCCCGTTATTGAAGAATCTGTGTGTGTGCTAACAACGTTGGTAAGGCCCCAGAGCAGAGTGCCCAGATTCCGTGTCCTGTCTCTCCGAGGTGTCGATGCATTGTCCCAGCCCATGCCACGGAGCGCCCCGCGAGCAGCGCGGGCTCAGCCCCAGCGGCAGCGGGAGAGTTCCCGGCCGGGCCGGCGGGGCAGGGCTGTCGCTGCTCTCTGCAGGCAAACGGGAGGCGCAGGCTGAGCCCGGCTGGCAGAGAGCTGTGCCGGGCAGCCCTTTGCAGCAGGGCTGTGCAGCCAGCACAGCGAAGGCAGCGGAGCCCCGCTCTGCCGCTGCCCGTGGCCGGGGAGCCGGGCCGGGGCTGTTCCTGCAGCCCTGCCTGCCTCCAGCAGCCCTGGGCCGGGCGGGAGGGGTTCCCCCGCTGCAGCCCCAGCTGAGGCAGCAGCAGCAGCTCTGTGCTGCTCCTGACACATCCCTGCGGCAGCAGCTGCACGGGGCTGTGCAGCCACAGAGCCCAAAGCAGCGCAGCAGCAGCGCAGCAGCAGCACAGCTCTGGGGCTCTGCTGCTGCTGCTGCTGCTGCTGGGCAGCCCCACAGGGCTCAGGGCTGAGCAGCCGTGCCTGGAGCCCGCTCCTGGCTCCTCCAGCCTTGGGGCTGCTCCTCTGCTGCTCCAGGGCAGGGCCTTTCTCCGGGATTGGCTTTTCTTTCTGCTGGGAGAGCTCTCAAAAAACCCCAGGATCCCTGGGGCTGGAAAAGCCCTCCCAGCCCAGGGAGTCCCAGCTGGGCCCCATGCCCACCTTGTCCCCAGCCCAGAGCACTCCGTGCCACCTCCAGGGGACACCTGCAGGGATGGGCACTCCAAAGCTCCCTGGGCAGCCCCTGCCAGGGGCTGAGCACCTTTTCCATGGGGAAATTGCTCCTGCTGTCCCAGCTGAGCCTGCCCTGGCCCAGCCTGAGGCCATTTCCCCTTGTCCTGTCCCTGTTCCCTGGGAGCAGAGCCCGACCCCCCGGCTCTCCCCTCCTGGCAGGGGCTACAGAAGGACTGTTCCTTTCCTAGGCCCTCTCCTCCTCTTCTCTGCTTTCCAAAACTAAAACAGAATCACTGAATTACAAATCCCACATGAATACTGGGGACTGGATGTTGGCCCATTTCTTGTGTCCACAGGGACAACCAAGTGTCTCCCTCCTCCCGTGCCCAAAATCCAACAGCAGAGAGTCCCTAGGCCAGCATTCTCTCTGTGTGTGGTAGATAGGGACAGGCGAACGGAAGATCTCGGGATGTGATGGAAAGAGAGACCCTTTCCCCTTCTCCCTGCTTCACGTTATCTATCACCCCCAGAGCATGTAACCACACCTAACCCAGTAGTTTTCCACTCCCGACTAACCTAGAGACCCTACCAACCCCCCCTGACGTAGCAAAGTCCCCCAAGACTATTTAAACCCATGAGATAAGAAAATAAACACTTTTGACCGTCCACCACATTGGTGTCAGCGTGTGTCCTTAGTCCGAGTAGCCCGGACAGGCCGGGCTGCCGTGCTGTCGCCTTGCAACCAGGTCGCATGTTGCCTCCCATGAAGGCAAAACTGTGGGGGCAGCAGGAAGGAAGTTTGAGGACTTCTGCAGCCCATGAGAGAGGGGAAGGCAGGAAATCTCCTTTCTTTCTGTCTTTTCCACACCAAAGGAGACTCCTGCAATGGGAAAAGGAATTGTTCACGGTGGAGCTGCCCCCTGGGGCTCCAGCCCACAGGAGAGGCCTGGGGTGAAGCCAGGCTCCTCATAAAACAGGAAAGCTGGACAGGACAAACACACGTCAAACCAATATGGTTGATTAAACGTTCTCCATTTATTAGTGAGAAGATGGCACTTTACATACATTTCTATATAGTTCACAGTTTACAAAGGCACTCTCATTGGCAAGCTAACATTGTTTGTCTTTGTCTTAAGGTGGACTAAACTTCTCATTATAAACCTATACTACTTCACACCCAGACAGCCCAACTCTTCACATCACACCTTAATAGAATTTCTAACTGTGCCACAAGCTCTTAATTTCTAACTGTGCCACAAACTATTAATTTCTAACTGCGTCACAGGCTGGAAGGCCTCACAAGGCCCGATCTGAGGCCTAGACTGGAGTAGCTCAAATCTCATTCCAGACATAAATCATGGCCTCTCTCTCTCAGAAATGCTGCAACACTGGGGGACATCAGGTGTGCTCCCACCTGCAGCTCGGCACTTCATAGCTGGGCCAGGAGTGGAAAATTGGGAGAGAAAACAGATTATCCAGAACCACACTTGATCTGTGTCCCCTCACTGCCCGCACTTGGAGAAGGTGCTGGATAAATGATGCAGAGTGAGTGTAGGAAATCAGGAGGAACTCTGATTTTACTCCCCATGTGCTGCCATGCAGCCTCAGAAAGGAGAGGAGCTTTTGTGCACGGCTGAAGCGTGAGAGTCCTCCAGGAGTTCCACAACCGTTCTGAAGCCTTGGACCCAGCTGTTGGATTTTCCCTGATGCTGCCCAGCTTTGCTTCAGTTTGCCCAAAAGAAAGAAGATCACAGGAAACAAATTTAAAAGTTGTAAAAGACAAGAGCAACAAGTGACAAGACTGTAAATTTTTGAAAGCACAGCTTTTTCTTTTATTGAATCTTCTGTTAGTAGAGATGTTGCTAACTACTGGTTTACAACTTTTGATGACTTTTGACCCACATGGACCTCTAATTATACCAGTTTAGTATATATGATGTCTCTTCAAACCAGTGTATGACAGAATTGTGCAATGAAAAGTCGTTTTCTATCCCAAGGAGACTGAAACATTCATTTATTGCTCCCAAACAGACTAAAGCGTGTGGGTTTAGTGTCACATCTCACAGAGCTCGGCCCTGGAGCGCTGCTGCCGCGGCCGAGCGCAGCCCCTGGGGCCGCTGTGCGGGTGCATTTGAAGGGCACGGACACAATGGCAGCGCTGTGCATCTTTGTGCTCCAGGTCTGCGCTGCCCGTGCGGGCGGAGCGGGGCTGGCGGGAGCGGCGCTCCCCTCAGAGCCCCTGAGGGCGGCAGCGATGGCGGCGCCGCTCCCTCAGCGCCCGGCCCCGGCCCCGGCGGGCGGGGAGCCCTCGGCAGCGCCCGGCCGGCAGCGGGGAGCGAACCCCGGCCCGGCCGCTGTGCCCGTGGCGCCGCAGAGGCGAGGGGAGAGCCGCAGGAGCCGCTGCCTCGGGCACTGCCCCAGGCTGGGGGCAGCGGCCGGGCCCTGGCCCTGCGGCAGCACAGGAGGGTCTGGCGGTGCCGCTTCTCCAGCTCGGCCCGGTGCCCGGGCACGGCCCCGGCCTTGGGGCTGCCCCTGCCCCGCTCAGCTGCCCGTGCCCTGCCCGGGCGCCGAGGCCGCGCTCGGTGCCCCCGGGTGCCGCTGCTGCGGGCAGGGCCGAGCCCCGGTGCCCGGGCACAGCCCTGAGCGACACCCCTGCTCCCCGGGCTGCCGCGGCTCCTGGAGCCGCTGCCCACGAGCCCCCGGCACGGCCGTGCGGCCAATTCCTCGTGCCCTGGGCAGCGCGGCCTGCAAAGCCGGGGCTGGGCACTGCGGGGCTGGGGCTGCCGTGTGCCAGCGGGGCCAAAGCCTCGCAGGGCTCGGGGCACAGCCGGGCCCGCCAGGACACCGCTCCGGGGATTCTCTCAGCCAGCTCCTGCCCAAGCCCCCCGCAACCCGGGCTGGCTCTGTGCACTCTGGCAGCCACGACGGGACTGGGGAACAGCTGGGGACTGGGCTTTGCCCAAAGCTCAACCTGGAGAGCTGCAAGCTCTGCCCTGCACGCTGTTACAGCCACGGCAGGGAGCAGGCCCAGGAGGAATGAGGAGCCTCTTTGCCTTGAGCTTCTATAGGGAAAGCTTATCCGAGGTGCAGAGAGCAGGATAAAACAG